TGGTAGGTGCTACTTTAGGGATACACACAAAGAAACCCAGACTTCGTGGGGGGTGGGGGGGGGAGTCAAAGAAGGTTGCACAAAGGAAGTAACATTTGACCTGGGAACTAAGTGGCACCAAACGAAGCCGGCTGTGGGGAGATTGGAGTTGCAGGTTACCAAATTATCTGTCCTAGGGAGAGAGGCTCCAGTGTCTACCCCAAGCGTGTAGGAGTGTGTGGGGAGGAGGGGGTTCATGTGAAGTGGAACAGGGCAGAACGAGGATTGGTTGGGAGGAACCGGAGTTCCATCTGGTGGTTGACGGAAGCCGGAGGGGGGCGCCACTTGGACTTCAAACTCACGCCACAGGTCCGGCGAACCGTGATTGTGGCACGGCGACCTGAGCAACTGGCTGCCCGGACTCCTCAACTTGGGGAGCAACTTGCGAGGTAAGCCGCGCGTCTGACCGCTTCCTAAACCTAGCTCTCACCCACTCTCTGAATTCAGCCTTGCCTCCCTTGGGCGTCAGAGCCCACCGAACTCCCTAGCCCAGTGTCAGCCATGAGGAGCAGATCTTAAAACAGCGCCTGGGGTTTTGTTTGTGTGTTTATTTTTAACAGATGCCTACAACTTTTAACACGCTGCCTGGCAAAATGGCTCTATGGAAACTCCGTTGCTAGGGCCGGCAAACGGCGGCTCCCGGAAGTCCCTTGACGTTTTTGTAACAATTAAGCGACTGGCCAATGCGACGCCACTTCCGGTGTCGTAAGGGCTCTCGGAATTCTCCTTTACAAAGATTGCCTTTGACCCCGGAAGTGAGGTCTTCCGGGTTCCTCCCTCCCCCAAGATGGCTGCGTCTGAAGACGAGTTAGAGCTGCCCCGGCTTCCCGAGTTGTTCGAAACCAGCCGGAAGCTTCTGGATGAAGTGGAAGTAGCGATTGAACCCAGCGGTTCCCGGATGGTTCAAGATAAGGTGTTAAAGGCACTGGACCTCCTTGAGAAGGCTACCGAAATGTTATCACAGCTTGATTTGTTCAGGTATGGGGGAGAGGGTAATAACGGCTGAGAACGAAAGTAATAATGGTTGCCAAGGGTGGAGCCGTTGCGCTTTGGTGGAAAGGACCTTTACGACTGTGACCCTTAAGTTGTTACTCGCTGCGATCGTGTGTATGTTTACATTGTCCGCCTCTTTTCCGAGATGATTAACTCTGGATTCTGTCGGCTGACTGCTTAGGCTTTGGGCGTGAGTGCTGGGCTCCTTATATAGAAACTGGCTGCTCTCGCCTTTGCCCCACTATTTCCTAGCCCTCCTCTTCCCCGGGAAGCAAAGGCCATGGTTTGAGTGCTCGGCCAGGCTTCACAGCCTCTTTTGCTCTTTGCTCTTTCCAGCCGAAATGAAGATTTGGAAGAGATTGCTTCCACCGACTTGAAGTACCTGATGGTGCCAGCGTTTCAAGGAGCCCTCACCATGAAACAAGTGAACCCCAGCAAGCGTCTAGAGCATTTACAGCAAGCTCGAGAACACTTTATAAACTTCTTAACCCAGTGCCATTACTATCATGTGGCACGGTTTCAGCTGCCCAAAACCAAGAACAACTCAGCTGAAAATAATACTGCTAGTTCCTCCATGGCCTATCCTAGCCTCGTTGCTATGGCATCTCAAAGACAGGCTAAAATAGAGAGGTGGGTCAATAGCTGTAATTTGAGGACTGCCCAATGGCAGCATTATTGGGGGGTGCATGTGCTTTTGTGTGTGTGGAGGACAGAATGGTGTATGTCAATCTTTTGGTTTTTATTGAGCATAGATCCTGGTGAGAGCAGACTTTAAAGCTTTTTTGAGAAGCCTCTGCCTTTATTGAGGTAACCATACCTAACCATTAGACCCCTACTGCTGAGAGCAGCAATGTAGTTTTTCAGTGGCTCCCAACTTTTTCCACATCATAGCATAATATTCGTATGGGGTAAATATCTCTGAAGGGCACAGTGTCTCAGAGTTGGAGTCTATGTTCTGTTGTTGAGCAATTCTAATAGTACTGGATCGGATGTGTAACATCCTGAACACAACCTCATGATGTGACTTTGAAAAAGTTGCTTACTCTTAGTTTTTTTTGTTGTTTGTTTTAACATTGAATGGGTGCTCACAACGTCTAGAAAGTATGCTAGGCATTTTGGATACAAACTGTATGAGGGGTTCTTGTCTTTGATTATCTGAAATATGGTGAAGGAAATAGAGAAACAATAACAATATAAAGTGATGTCACAAAGAGATGTATAAGGTACTGTGAGAGCAGACAGGAGGGCATTAGCCAAAGAGGGAATTAAAGAGAGAAGACTCCCTGGAAAAGGTGATTCCTGTGCAGAGTTTATTAAGGATTAATAAGAATATTATCCTGAAGAAGAGGAGAGAAGGGCATTAGCCAGCAGAGGTAACCACATTTGTTAAGCCAAAGAAACAGTGTCAAGGTGGGGATGTGTGAGGGTGGAACAGCACCCACAAGCATAAGTGATGCTTATAACAAAAGGGGAGTGAAGAAAAGGGGAAAGGAATGATGCTGAAAATCTAGGATCCATACCAAATAAGCTTGGGATCTGAGGAAAGTGAAGGAGCAACCTTGTTCCTAAGAACTTTGGAAAGTGTTTAAATTCAGCTCCATCATTTAATTACTCTGATTGGGGCAAGTTACCTAATTTCCCCCTCTGCAAAATTGAGATGATAATAATAGGTCCCTCCTCATAGAGTAGGTATGAGGATTGAAGTGACAGAGTATTTAGCTTAGCACAGTGTGACACAGTAAGCACTCGGAGTCAGTGAGGATTATATATTTGTGGCTAAGGGTAGGTTTGCAGAGTCACAAATCTGGGTTTAAGTCCTAGCTTTATTTTTAGTCATTGGACTTTGGGTGAGTTACTTAACCTATGTGAGCCTCAAGTTTCCTATTATGTGAAATCTAAATACTAATGATACCTGTTTCATAGGGTTAAACATAAGTGAAATAAAACACATAGAAGAGCACAACATCTGGCGCATATTTCATAAGTTTTTAGCTGCCTTTTTGGGTAGGTCAGCTAAAGAGCTTACTTTGGGGACTGGGATCAACTGAAGAATTTTTTAAGAGAGTTGCATGGTCATATATGCATTTTAACTAATACATTAGACCCACATTGGTCATAGAAGTGATGACTCAGTAGGGCATTGGCAGAGGGATATAAGGGATATATTTACTCAAGAGGGTTAAATCTATAGAAAAACCTGGTGATTAATTGGTCGTAGGAGGTAGGATAAAGGAAGCAGCAAGGAAGATGTCCATGTTTCTGATTTAGGTGTTGCTCTGGAATTCATTGAGATGGGGAATAGAAGACAACAGGGGAGATATTTTGAGTTTAAGATACCTAGAAGACATCCAAGTAGAGGTATCTGGTGGACTGAAGTTCAGAAAAGAGGCTTGGCCTAGATAGCTGAAAATTGATTAATTTATTCAACAAATATTTATTGAGCCCTTTGTGCCAGGAACTGTTCTAGATACTGGAGAACCAGACAATTCCAGTGCCATCACAGAGCTATTTTTCTAATGGAGACAGTCAATAAGCCAGTAAATAATGTAATTTTAGTTGGTAAGGGCTATGAAGAATAATATACTCTGATAAGGGGATAATGAGTGACAGTGAATGATATTTTGGAGATGTGGGATAGACTGATAACAAAGTGGAGCTTGGCAGGAGGTTATTATCTCGTTTTTTGTAAGAAAAAAAAAGGAATAATAACCTGGGATATTCTTAACAAAAAATAGGATAAAATATTATCCTATTTTTTGTAAGAAATTGGGGAGCAGCCCATTGGCATATGCCAGGTAGTTTAAACAGTGACTCTTTTATCCAATAATTATACCAAAAAAAAAGACTAAATGCCATAGATACATAGTGTTGTGGAGAGAGATGAGGGAGTGCTCTCATGTAGTTGGAGGAATGAGGAAAAAATTCCAGAATGTAACAGCATGTAAGATGAGTCTTGAAGGATGGTTAAAAATGGAAATTAAAAGAAAATAGGAATGACAGATTTTTCCTGAATGTAAAAGTAACAATGCTCATTGTAGAAAGTTTACTGAACAAGATTAAAAATCAAAAATAAGCTTAATCCTAGTACTCATAGATGTCATTGTTAACTTCTGATGTATTTTCTTTCAGATATATAGTTATTTTAGCTAATAAATTTGGAATAATACTGTAAATATAGCTTTTATCCTGTTTTTTTAACCTAATATTATATTGTGAGCATTTCCCCATATTTTTCAAAACCATGACATTTAATGGTTATGTAATATTCCACGCATAGTTGTAACATGATTATTTAAACTATTATTGTCAAATATTTAGACTATGATTTTTTTTGCTATTTAATACTATATGCAAATATCCTTAGCCACATCTATCTCTGTTTCCTTTGGATAGATTTCTAGAAGGACCAGTGATTAGGTCAAAATTTAAAATATTTGAATATTTTAAAGTTCTTTATGGGGTAACTGTTACTGCCCACAATAACAGAATTTCAGAGTATGTCCCACTGCACTTAGAAAGTCCAATTGGGCAAATAGAAAGTGGTATCTTATTATTTGGGTCTGCATTTCTCTGGCCTACAAGCTTGATCTTTGACGTTTTTCTTTTCTTTCTTTTTTCCCCCCTTTGGCGCTGGACCTTATATGCACTAGGCAAATACTCTAGTGTCTGAAAGATGAGATAGTAACACTATCTTTATGCTAATAGCTCCCACTTTCGTATCACTAGCCCAGACGCCTCTTGACCTTCAGATCCATACTTCCAGCACACTTTGTGGGTGTTTCATAGACATCTCAAATTTAACATGTGATAAAATTGAACTCTTGGCTCCCCCACTACCCGCCAGAGTACTGGGTATTGATTGAACTGGGGGCCTTGTGCATGATAGGCAAGCACTCTACCACTGAGCTATACCCCAAGCCCATGGCTTTTTCTTTTATTTATTTATTTATGTATTTATTTTTTGTTCCTTGCAGTGCTGGGGATCAAACCCAGGGCCTCGTGCATGCTAGGCAAGCACTCTACCACTGAGCTACAGCCCAAGCCCAAACCCTTGGCTTTTTGACCCCCAAGTGTACTCCCATGCCCCAGTCTTCACCATCTCAGTAAGTACACCACCATTCAGCCAGGTATGTAAGCAAGAACCCTAAGAGTTAGCTTCAATTCCTCCCTTTTCTGAATTTCCTCATGTAGTCTATCAGCAAGGCCTTTCAATTCTAGCCACAAAAGGTATTGCCTATTTCTCTTCATCTTCACTAGCATACCTCAGTCTAAGCCACTGGAATCTCTCATCTGAAATAGCTGAACTACTAACTACAAGGCCCTGCATGATCTGGTCCCTGTCGCTCCCATCTCATTGTGTACATTCTCCCCTCATTGAATAGACTCTAGCTGTAATAGTCACCTTTCAGTTCTTTAACAGACATGATTCCTTTGTTGAATTTTTGTACATCCTGTTCTCTTTGCATGGAATGCTCTTTATATGGCAAATTCTCATTCTTTTTGGTCTTAAATGTCTCTTTTTGGAGAGGCCTTTCCAGACCATCTAAGTTAATGTCTGTCATTCTGTCTCTTTGCTCCATGTTTGTTTCTTTCATGGCATTTATCTCACATGCAGTTATTTCTGTCTTTCTGGGTTTTTGTCTCTCTCCCCTACTACATGTATACATGTATACTCCATGAGGGCAGAAGCCATTTTCCTCATTCACTGTGGCATGCCTAGCACAGGGCCTGGCACATAGAAGGTGCTCAAGCAATATTTGCTGTTGACAAGCAAGAGAAATGACGTGAGCAAAAGCCCAAAAGCAGGTAGATTAAGCTATGTACAGGGAATAGATAATAGCCTGGTTTGGAAGAAGTTAAGTATAGTATGGACAGAGTTCTGCGTAAGGAATAGATATGTACAAAGTATTGAAAGGGAAATGAGAAAGACAAAAGAATTCTAAATAGGATGAAGTAATAAAAATGAAGTTATAGATATCATAGGTACTACTTTTATAAGAAGCATTGTTAGGATTAGAAAACAGATTATTCAGGGCTGGGGGTGTAGCACAATCGTAGAGCATTTGCCTACTATGCATGAGGCCCTGGATTTCATCCCCAGCAACACACATACACATACATACTATTCAGATCCTTCTTTACTTTCTATAAGTTCCCCATCAATGACTTCAGGCAATGAGGCCAACCTAAATAAAACATCTAAATGGTATGTCTTTCCTCTCTCAAACCTGTTTCTTCACGTATGTTCTCTAATTCCCATCTTTGAGGAGTGAGTGTGAGTCTGGTTGTTTAACAGCACCTCCATTCTTTTGACAGAACTGAAGAAGTAGAAGCTGGGTAAGTAATGACTCTAGTTTGGGATTTACTGAATTTAGGTCCTAAAATGACAACTGGATAGCCATTTCCATAGACTTGGAAATGTGCAACTAAAATTTATGAGATTGTTTTGTGGCTGATGCAAAAAATTAGGAGTCTTCTGTTATGGTGAGTTTCTGTTATGCATGAGTTTTCCAAGGAAAAACAAATAGAATAAGAGCCAAGGATAAAACCTTGAGGCAAGTTAAGGAATAAAGAAAAAGAGGGAAAGAGTAATCAAAGGAAAAAGACTCAACAAGGTAAATAAAGGAGAACTTACCAAGAGAACAGATGTAATGTCCTCTTTGAAGCCTTTCCCTCCCTTTCCTGCTGATACTATAGCACTTAGTTGATATTACTTATCACAGCATGACACTTAATCTCTAGACTTGGAACTCTACAAGCTCAGAGACCATAAGTAATTGTATTTTACTATCCTAATTGTATCATTGTATCTCTTGGTGCCCATTCAGTAATTGTATCAAAGTATTTGTAGAGAAAGGAACAGATATGAATGGTATTCAGAAAGATGGAAGCAATACGGTGTATTAGAAAGAGATTATTTGGAATCAGACCTGGGCTGACCATTTTCTACCCTTATAGCCTCAATTTCCTCATCACTGACAAAATTTGTGACAAAGCATTTTTATGTGTATTTTTCCCATTTTTGTGTGCATTTTTCTGTTTGATCCTCTTAGCAACCCCATGAAATAGACCCCCATTTGGGAACTGTGGAAATGAGCTCTGAGAATTGACTTGCCAAAAATTACATAGCTCGCATACATGGGCAGGCTAAGATTTAAACTCAGGTCTTTAAATTCCTAGTCCTGATCCTGTTAAATTCCTAGTCCTAATCTGTACAATAGAAAAGAGTGCATCATTTGAAAGGGTAGAAAATGGGTTGAGGGAAAGTGTTTCCAAAATGGAAAAGGCACCAATAGAGTAAAAAAATAATAGCTGCTAATGGCAGGGAAAGTGATTGATAGAGTGAAGCCTGGAGGAATGTGTTCGGGGACTAGATAGGGAAAGTGGAATGGCAATGACGAGAGTAAAATTTACAAGAGTAAAAGAGGAAGAGTGGATCTGCAGAGATTTTAAGGTGAAAAGGGAAATTGGATTCTACAGTGGCTGGCTATCTGGCAAGCATGATTAGGAGACGAAGTCTCTTCAGAGGATAAACAAAAAGCTAAAACTGGTTAATAAGGGTTTGTAGTTAATCCATTGACAAATGTTTAATTCCTTAGATCTGTTCACTAGCTTAGAAACAACAAGGGAAAGGTGAAAGTTTCCCAGAGTCAAAGGTCACAGGTAGGGAATTTTAAGGTTTTAGGGACTGCTTCTATGTTATATGGCCCACTATGGGAACTCTAGAACAGTGATGAAGTCTAGGACAGTGGTTTTCAATCTGTTCCTCAAGACCCTAAGATTTCACCACAGTGTCTGAGTAATGTTGGGAACTTTCCTGATTCCATTAAGGCAGATTTTATTTGCTCATAAATTATTGGGTTTCCATATAAGCTCTCATTAGAAGATAGGATTCTATTGCCAAGACAAAATGGTTTTAAAACACTGGTCTAAAAGAGCAGGTGATAAGCAGCCAGAAATCTAAAAAATGAAAAAGAGCCAAATCACAGAAGCAAGGAAGTGGAAAAGAAGGAAGGGAGCAAAAAGTTTGGGGTTGTACACATAAGGAGAATGGGAAAAGAAGCAAAAGAACCTTAGTCAGAGGACACTAGACTAACCCAGAATTTATCCTGGATTATATACATTCTAAGGTCTTTGTGTGTGTGTGTGTGTGTGTGTGTGTGTGTGTGTGTGTGTGTGTGTGTGTGTGTTTCCTGTGACATAGGTACCTCCAGGAAAGAAGGTAGGGGTAGCAGTAGGAATGGTTAAACATTCTCAGATCATATCGTTAGTAGCATTCATGAGCTAGGAATTGACCTTTGTAGTATTTTATTTAGTAGTCTAGCTATCATGGTCTGTGACAATTGTTTAAAATGACAGTTTATTGGGTAAAAAGAGCAGAAGAACCTAAAATTTTTGATAACAAAGAGTGTTTCCAGAGTTGATTTTTTTCATGAATCCTGGACCCCTGTGATAATTTGATAAATATATCAAGTTATATATATATTTTTTTTAAATTATGTTTTTTAGTTGTAGGTTGTCACAATAACCTTTATTTTATTTTTATGTGGTACTGAGGATTGAACCCAGTGCCTCCTGCATGCTAGGTGAGCGCTCTACTGCTGAGCCACAACCCCAGCTCCTCAAGTTACATTTTAAATACATCTGTATCTCGCCCTCTCCATCTCCCTCTTTCAAGTTATATCCTCTCACCTGGATTGTGGCAGTATTCTCTGAATCGCTTTCCCTGTGATTCCACCCTTGTTTCCCAGCCCTGACTCCACACAGCACCAGAATGCCCCATATATTTTTAGAAAAGTCTTCATGTCTCTCTGTTTATTCATGTCATGTATTCTATTTAAAGCCTCAAGTGGCTTTCCCGTCTCACTCAAAATACCATGGTATTTGGTATTTGGGGGTATCAAGGCCTACAAGGTTCTACACATTATGCCCTGGCTTGCTTGCTCTCTGACCTCATTTCCTATCACTCTTTTTCACATTCCATCCATAATGGCCGCCTTGTTATTTCCCAAACATGCCAGGCCAGGTGCTCTTCCTGAGCCTTTGATTTTCTTTTCTTAGAATGGTTTTCAGATATCGGTATGACTTGCTTGCTTGTTTGCTTGAAAGCTTTGCTCAGATGCCATCTTTTCAGAGATGTCTCTCCTGACCACTTTGTATATAATAGCACTCCTACTTTCACACCATCACTCAATCCACTTGACCTTGGTTTTTACTGCTTCACAGTACTTAGACCTGACTCATCATCTCTCTCTTTGTCTGTCTTCTCCCACTAGAATGAAAGCTTCACAAAAGCAAAGAATTTCTTTTATAAACTGTATCTCCAGCACTAACAGTGCTGATCACACAATAGGCACTCTGGAGATATTTGTTGGATGAATGATAGATACACTAGAATATATTCTGAAAAAGGCAGCTAGGTGTTTATGAGTCTTTGAATTAGATAATTATGAGTCAGAAGTGCTGGTAATGTTTTGCCTCGAAGAAAAGAGATGATCATTTATTAGGCTGTTTTACAAGGAATTCCTATATCAATAGCAAGTAAATGACCCCTAACATTCTATGATTCTTTGAAGATTTTTTTTTCTCTCAATTGGAAACCCTGTGGGAAGCACTGTGTGACACTAAGCACACAGTCAATTCAGGGTTGATATAATCAGATGACTAAAGTACACTCTCCCTAGAGATTATGGCAGGACGTGCCAAGATCAGGTTACATCTATATTTTTCTGGCTTCAGAATGTTATTTCTCAGCCTCTTTTAGGCCCTTCCTTGCTTTGTAGTCTGAGGGAACTGGCTGGTGGCAGGCTCTGGGTTATAGAATCTATTCCTGTCAAGATGGAAATCTGTGTACTTACTACCTGGACATTTGCAAAGGTAAAAACTTAGGGTGGCCTTCTTTTGAAGGAATACCTCTTTATTTTTAAGTTCATGGGTATAATGCTTTTCTGTGAAACAGATACAAGCAGAAGAAGGAGGTGGAGCATAGGTTGTCTACACTGAAATCTGCTGTGGAAAGTGGTCAAGCAGATGATGAACG